CTGGCATCCAGGCACCAAGACACCCAGCATGGTGCTTTAGAGATGCTGTGAGCTCCTGCAGCCTGGCAGAGGTCAGGCAAATGCTACAGGTGAGAACATGGGTGGGTAGAAGAAATGGTAGAAGTCACAGCGTGCCCCATTCCCACCAATCCTGCCTCATCTCTGGGTGCACACTGCCTCTGGTAAGTACAGCACACGGGTTTCCTTCATATCTCTGGTTCAGGCTTGGTCTGCAGAGGGGAAAAGGAGAGAGAGCCTCTGCCTCGGCTCCTTATAGTAAGTGAAGCCAGAGAAAATACAAGACTTGGTCAGTTTTGGATACTGTCTCTATCCTAGGCTGCCTGTTCTTGAAGCTTTGCTTGTGCTGGGTGGAGATGCCAGGAAAACATCATGGTGAGCTGCATCTTCTGAAAGCATGCACTTGTGCATTCATGTACACACACAAACCCCATGGGTACCCTTCTTGCAGCCAGGTGTTTCACTGCAGACACCTCAGTGAGATGAGGATGGGACAGGAAGGGAGAGCAGGGCCATCACTTTAGTCAGCAGCCTCCAGGAGAGAAACAATAAATGCTCACTAAAGTAGGTGAATGTACCAGCAATGTGGATGAGACAATTATGGGGTTATTCAGGAAAAAATGTTTCCCAGACTTACACAGGTCTTATCCCAGCTTGTCACTCACTGTGGCCTTACATACCCCATGGTATGCTTATTTTTGTTTTATTAATCATCATCCATTCTGACTCGTAGCAGCATGGCCAGAAAAGAAGGGTCTGGTTTCCTTGCACCCCCTTCCTGCAGCCTCAGCCCCATCCTGCTCCGTGTCGAGTGGGGTGACCAGAGCAGTGGGGCTGCCACAAGTAGGGGATTAATGGTGTCTGCAAGCACTCCAGCACTAAAAGCCACCTTGGTGGGACACTGAGGCTGTGCTGCACTGAGGGACAGAGAGGACCTTTGGGAGATTTATTCCCCTACTTAGACCCTCATAATTTTTTTCCCTTACCTTTGCAGAAAAGGAATTCAATAAATCACTAAGAAATGCCTCATACGCTCACAAGGAAAAACCATTACCTGCACATTTTCTGCATGCATACAGCATTGTATCTACATTGCAAATGTCACAAACATGTCTTAGAATCTGTCTTGCTTCATTTTTTCCAGATGGCAGAAAAACAGCTTTCTACAGCAGTTCCTTAAAACATATTTTTACTTAAGTAATGGTGTTTTGCTGAACAATGGTACTCATAAACAAATAATAATGTTGAGACCCATTTTGCACTGTTTTAACTGACTACCCAAGACACAGAGAAGTGATGAATTTTGCTTTACAGGATCTGGTTTTTCCTTTGCTTCACAATGTAACTATGCTCACAAAAATGATGTAGAACAGGTTGTCAGATGTGGCAGCATTTTTTTTCCACCCTGAGTAAAGACTTTGAATTTAATTTGGTTATATTTTTAAATAAAGTAGCACAGAGCTGGAGAAACAGAATTTTGAGTATCAAAAGTCCTGAGACATTTTATTTTGATAATTCCAAGACTTTATAAAATGCTCTTGAAAATAAGGTCTTGGAATACATGTTTTCCTGTGTAATGCCTTACTTCTGGCAAATCAGAATTTTCTGAGAAAAAAATACTGTCATTACATGTCTCAATTAATTTCATTTAATATGAGAAAGATAATTTAAACCTTTAAACCTTTTAAAATTTAAACTCTTGAAAATATTATGTATGTCTTCACAAAAGTTCTGAGATATAATCAGGAGATTTATGAGGAACCACAGTCAGATGCAAGTAAAGAGAATCACAGGCCTGCCTTTAGCAGTTAGGGGATGTCCATCTTTGTATCTTTGGAGGAAATAAATCCTCAGATCTTTTACCTCAACCTTTCATCCTTCCATCTTCCAGCTCCCTGAAATCATGGCTGTAGATATCATTACTGTAGGAGTGTCAAGCTTCCAAGATGATCCCTTGTGAGAAACAAACAAAATAATGTTTAAAAAATTTTCTTCTGAGCCTATCTTCTTTTATTGGGACAAATAACTTTTTTTCTTTTTTTTTTTTTGTGCTACATTTCCTTGTCTCTAAAATGGAGTATGTGATCCTGGTGCTTGAAGGAAATGGTTTAGTCTCTCCTATTGCAAGTTCAACTTTTCTTGCACAAAAACAGGCCANGTGTGGGGCTCCTGCGGGGCTCGGGCTGCAGCCGCGCCCCCTCCGCGCCGCTCCGGGATTCGGCAGTGAACTGCGGGGAGGGGGAGGGGAAGGAAAAAACAAAACGGAAAGCCACACGAGGGCGGCCGTAGTCGGCAGGATTCGAACCTGCGCGGGGAGACCCCAATGGATTTCTAGTCCATCGCCTTAACCACTCGGCCACGACTACGCATGCTGAAGCAGGCCTTCCTGCCTCGCCATCACTGACTACCCGAGAGAGGGCATGGTCTGGCACTTAGGTTCGTCTCCTCACCGGGAGCAGTGAAAGGTTTAAAATAGAGGTTAGACTTAATGCGTCTGTCATACAGTTCCCTGGGCTGGATATTGGTCTGTTTAGAGCAAAACCAAACGGTTAGGCTTTGCTAAGTCCCATGGGACAAGCCTGGTTTTGTGTGCTTTTTTTTTTTTTTTTTTTTCCTTTTGTGTTGTTTTTGTTTGTTTGTTTTTTTGTTTTTGGCGTAGGTTAGGAACAGTTGTGGCCTGTAAGTGGCCTCAGACCCCTTAAACCCAGGAGCACTCCCCAGCTGACATCCTCTATAGCGCTCGGGAAGTCGGGGCAGGAATTTTTGAGTGAAGTCCCATAAAAGTGGCTCTTCCCTATCACCCTGTTGATAAATCCATAGAAATGTAGGAGTGTCAGTCACTAGTCTTCCAATGCCAGCTTCCTCTGGCCCTCATCAGAGACACACGGGAGGTGAGATGTCCCAAGGTGGGCTCTCTGCCCATAGTGTCAGTAAATGCTGTATATTATTGTATTTTTTTTGAAATATAATGAAGGACTTTAGAGAGAGAGGTCCTCTTAAGCTAAACAGAACATGCCATCTCCTTAGATCAGCTGAGATGTAAAGGACAGTCCTTGTACCCTCCTGTTGCCAAGATGGCTCAAAATTCATGTGATGAAGTTGGGTCTGCTGTCCTTAAGAGCTCCAAGCAAAGCCAATTGGTAACAAGGTATTTTACAAATCTCTGTGTATTTCAATTAATGAGCTGCAAACTTTGTCTGAATTCCCTCGTACTTAAGCTTTTATTTCATTCTTCCATTTTCCTCCCCACATCTCTCGCGTCACGTTTAATACCCCAGCCTGATCCATGGCAGTGCTGCCGGGGGAGATGTGTTGGGTAGAAGAGTTGTGAGCCTTTGCTGGGTTGATGCGATGGAAGAAACTAAATAGTGTTGATGCTGCTCCAGCTCTTTTAAGTGGTCCCTTGGCCAGGACTCTGTGTCATGTAGGTAAATTCAATCCAGAAGAAGTGGATTTTTGGGTGGAATTTTTACATTCATCTCTTGCAGCTGTGGAGAGTTTAAACTAATCACAATTCTCCCCAGTACGCTATCATCTCTGTAATTTGAAAAAGGATCAGGAGCCCACAGGCTTGGAAAATCTTGAAGAAACTCTTGTCCTGAAATACATCATCACATGTGGAAAAGACCACTTGCTGCAGCATCTTAAAGGAGCTTAATAATGCCGAAATCCAGTATCATTCTGGCATTCTTTCAAATGGCCTTGGAAATCTGAGTACATTCTCTTTTGACTGTAAAACAGCTTCTTTCCCTTTCCATCAATCCTGTGGCTGTCAGTGTGTCTGTTGCAAGGTGCCAAAAATGTATGGAGTGTCTATGGGATAACGGTGCCAAAGTCAGGGGTGCCTCGAGGCCTTCTCCCATGAACTCGTTGCAGCATTTGCTCAGTTGGAAAGCATTTGAAACCAAAAAGAAAACAAAACAAAACAAAAAAAAAAAAAAAAAAAAAAAAAAAAAAAAAAAAAAAAAAAAAAAAAGAGAAAAAAGAAAAAGAAGAAAGGCACAGACCTTCAAAATTTTTTGAACTGAAAAGATTGGCTTTGTGCAGATTGCTGCCTGCTGTTTAGATCCTTGTTGTTCAAAACTTCTGAAAGGCCTGATGCAATCAAAAAGACTTACTGAGTCAAATTGGTTCCAGACTAGTCCCTGGAATCACACTGAGGTGAATCTGACATACTGGGCCTTCAGCTAAGCTGTGGCCAGGAGAAAGGAGTTGAGGTCATGCTCTGAATTTGGCCTCTCTTAGTAAATCAGTGAAGTGGCTTGTCCAAATCATGTCTCCTACTGACTGCTTGGGTGCAAGTGGAAAGGTTACTGGTTGCTGAGGGCTGGAAAAGTACAGAATGACCACTTTGATGATGATGGCTCCTTTTTTTTTTTTCCTTTTAATATACTGATATATAAGGATATCAATATATCCTTAGGAAGAGAGGACAGAAATCTGGAAGGCTGTCCTGGGTGCAAGCCACAATGTTCTCTAATCCTCAAGGTACTGAAAGCTTTCTCAGTGGTGCTGTTAAACTGGATTTTGCCACAACAGTGATGAAGACAAAAAAAAACTTTCTAGGGCAGGATGTTAATTTCCCTCTTCTGTTTTCTCTGGGAACCAAATTGAGCCGAAATTGAAGTTGACCAGAACTCTTCTCAGCCTTCTTCTCTTAACAATGAACTCTACAGGGCACAGGTAATGGTAAGAGGTTAGCAGAGCCAGGTAACACCAAAGTAATTTCCACATGCTACCCATTGGCAGACAAGAGGGAAATGATTGCAGGGAGGCACTCATTTTGATACAGTGATGACATGTTGCAAACCTTTCTGCCTTGCAGTCTCTTGCCCCCGAAGTTGGGATGGAGGGAATGCAGTGACTGCCTCTCTCCAAGGAACTGCCACCTACAGCATTTGTAGAACTGTGCAATTCCTTGCTCCCAGTTACAGGATATTACTCTAACCCTGTTCCTAATCACAATCCAGTATGACATCATTTTGAGTGACACCACTTATTTCTTATTAGTAGTACAGTGCATCAACCTGAGAAAATTCAGATTCTAAATCTACATTTTTTGCCATAATTTTAATCACTAGCAAGCATTTCTGTGAATGAAATTTTCCTACTAAAGATACCAGATTGGGAGACAACTTCTTGAAAGACCTCTTGGCAGCAAAACTAACAGTGTGTGCAAGATTCCTCGTATAACACGGGTTTGTGATATTGAGAGACAACAAAGGACAATTTAAGCTGGATTCTATCCCAGACTTGGACTTCACTGTCAATCCTTCCATCAAAGGTGCCAGCTCAGAGGGTGGATTTTTAGTTCAGTTTGCTGGCACAGCTGCCTTACCCATGAGGGGCATGAGGACTGGAACAACTTCCAGTTACTTCCAGCCTTCCTCTCAATTAATAATTTCAAGGTTAGAGTATGTGAGCAGCCACCACCTGCTGTGTTGCCTGGGCTACACAGTTCTCTTATAAAGAAAACTGTTCCTGAGAACAAGTAAGTGTCCAGATTGACAATCTTAGCCCTTGCTGTGAGGGGTAAACTTACTTTTGGATGTTTGTAAACATACATGCTCATTTTCAAGTGAGTATGACATGGGGCTTACAAAGAGAAGCAGAAGATATTTCAGGATAGTATACAAAAAAAAAAAAAAAGCTTATCTGGGGGCCTTTTAATGAACATGGCATAATCCTCAAAGCTTCTTAAAACCATGACATTTCAATCTCCATGAGGGCATAACAAACATTGGAAAGTAGTTTCTGGGAAAAAAACTGTCAGCTTGTAAGGCTGTGTAGCAAGGAGGTAACACTTCCAAACCAATGATAATTATGTGTAACTTCAAATAAAAATGGTGCTGCCAGGCACTGTACAGCTTTACTGCACCTGCATCCTTTGGCACCAAGGGTGTCAGTCCCTGTAAAGTGGAACAGAGGGAGGCATGTGGTGATGAAGCAGGTCTGTGCAGAGAACATATCATAAGGTAAATATGTTTCCATTTAACAGATAGAAATAATAAGTAGTAAATACAAGATAATTGGCCTGCCAGGAAGGACCTAGGCTGTGAGAATGTGAGTAGGAAGGAGAAAGCATCCTGCATAGAGGACTGGGGACTACTCAAAAAATCCTTCCTGCTTGCTGCCCATTGCACAGCTGTGCTGAGAGACAAACACCATGTAAAACCAGCCTAGCTGAGGGAGCTGAAACCAAAGCAGAGGTAGTGTTCCATCACCCTTGCCAAGGCTGGAAAATATTTTTCAGGGATGATTCTCCAGAACAGTTGTGAGCTAGGAAAAACTATCCTGTAAGCCACAGAGGCATGGTGTGAGCGTGCATGTGGGAGTGAAGGTACTGTTTGTGTGAACTCCACGCTAATATCCTTGGTGGGGCTGATTCAGATTTTTCTTCCTGAGGCCTCAGGATACTGCATCTCAGAGGGAGACATGTGGCAGCTGACAGGGCTGGTGTTGTCACACACACGGGTTCCAGATACACTCTTTTGTTTCATTGCATAGCAGTGCACTTTGTTTCACTGCACAGTCTCCTTTTCTCAGTACAAGAATCCTGATCAGTGAAAATATGTTAGGCAGAATCACACCTGTGTAATGTGAATGCCCTTTGCATGTGTGATTTTGAACTTTTACAGTTGAAAGACTTAAAAGAATGGCAAGAAGAACAAGTCTTTTTCAGATGAAAGCTTCTTCATAAAACCTCCCTCTAGAAGCTCAAATGCTAAAAAGAGATCTTCATATCTGTGAGTAATAAGGTTTTCATTTGGACTTGAAATGAACAGGTTTTTTCCCAGTGCAGTTTTCAAAAGGAAGAATGTTTAAGGGCGAAGTGAAAATGAGAAGTTAAGACCTCACTGATTTGAGCAGGGTCAGGATTTCATACAGAAGGTGAAAATCCAGTCCATCTCATTGCAAGTATCTGTTCCTTGCTGGATGATGGGGAACTGGTAGCTCTCTTTCCAGCTTCTGTGTCTCCCAGCAGAGGGCATTGCAGAATGACATTACCGTTTTCCAGAAATCTGGCAGAAGGTAAACTGAACTTCAAGGCGCTGTTTGGCTGGTCTAAAATTTATTTTCATGACCTCCACTGGAAGAGTGGATCATCAGTTGTAAAACCAAAAGATGCTGTTAGCAATCTGTAGCTGGAAGATAAAATGAATTTTTCCTTGCACTCCAACAAACGCTAATGCCTGAAAGAGAAAGCATATGCCAGAAAACATTTGTTCCTCAGCTTCTCTATCATACAGTTTATTTTCATGTCTTAGATGACACTGTAGGCTGAATTGGAAAGACTTGTTTCAGGTTCAGGTTGACATTCTGTAAAAATAATAAACTCTTTCTTATAAAAAATACATGCAGCATTAAAATGATAATGATAATGATGTGAGCAACAAGAAGAGAGAAACTTCAACATTTGCAGTAGATGTGGATAACAGGCATAATTTAAAATAATGGAGATAAGAAAGGTGATTTTT